CCAGCTCCATGTCTGTGTATGTTAGTCGTGCTCTGATTGTGGCCGTCAACTCTCCCTCTCTGCCTGTCACAAACACACGCACACAGTGCGTCGCCAGCAGCTGTGTATTGTAGCGTGCTATTTGATGTTCTCAGCCAGCACTTCCATGTTGCATGGCCCATATTGGGTGGAGTGGTACAGCGGTGTAAGGTGCTGCAGCGTCAGGCAGGACTATCATACCATGCTACGGGTTATAATAGTCCTGCCTGGAGGGAATTATGTTTTTTATAAAATGACCATCAACTGGCTGCATGAAATTCAGATTCAGATCAGAATATTTTTTCATGATTCAACGTTCAAATACACAATACAATAGTCCCTCCTGGGCGGCAGTTGCTATAGGTAGGCTGTTGCTATGGAAATTACCGCAGAGACACTATTGGATAGATTTGTTACATGGTTATTAGACAATATTATTTTCCTATTGATCGGATCATCACAGGTTTACACCAATTCAACTGGAATAAAAGTCCCTTTGACTGGAACAGCCCCTTCCCAATGAGGCAGGATTTTTCTGACTGGGTCCTATTATTGAGGTCATTAGTGGCGTATTAGGAACCATGTAAACGGATCAAATGAGATGTGGTTGGAAGCGGAAGAAAGAAAATTATTCATCTGACATCTCGGCTTCTTTCGCATTCATTTGGATATTTTTAAAACTGTCAATCATGAATCCAACCATGAACATCAGTGGTTTAAAAGCCTGGGTGTGACCGTGTGCCAAAAAGGATCAGAAGATAATTGCCACACATCCAGAGTCAACAAGGCAAAGAACTACATTTGTAATGAGCTTTTACAACATAGAGGCATTTCCAATTGCTTCCTGGAAATCCAATGGACAATAATATTGCAGCATGACATGTTTTCAGGACATTAAGATTCATGAGGAGATGGTCGGTGTCACTGGGAGGCTTCGTGAAACAGCAGCAGGTGACGAGTCCTCATCACCGGCAGCTGGTAGAGGAATTCTGATGAGCGGACTGGAGCTGGCTTTGTCCCAGCCCCACGTCCACACTAACGAGGGGACACGCTCCATGTAGAAGCCTCCATTGTTGGAGAGTGATATAAAAGAAAAATGCACAAAGACATTGTAGGGACGGAGCTGCTGTTACGCACCAGACGTCTGCTCAGAGGGAACATGAGGACATGAGGGGACATGAGGGGACACGAGGGGACAGAGTTGCCACTGTTCTGCAAGAGGTGTCTTGGTGGCGACAAAGAGCCCCTCGTCCCACTCTGTCCCATCCGTCCCTTGTCCCTGCTGAACCTCGTCAACCTCCCAAACCCAACTTCACCTGTCTCCTGTTTAACCTTGTGCTTCCTCTGAGGAGGACAGATGGGCCGTGTGGTGTTTTTGCATAATGCAGATGAACACTAAAAGGCTGCACAAAGTTAACGAGTAACAGACCTTATAGGAGAAAATAAATCTCTCACTTGCACACTCAGGTTAAATAAAATACAACTACATCTAAGTGAATATGACTTTCATTGAAACCTACTATACCAACATCATGCAGACCTACAGTAGAACTGATCACTTGGGACTGAGAGTAGGCATGTCACATCTCATCCATCCTCTTTGCCCCCACCATTATGAGGCCTAATGCCAGGAGTAAACTTACTCAAACCTCTAGTTTGGAGAGAAGCTATAAAACGTATGCTGTACACGGGAGTATCTAACTCAACTTAACAAAAATGCAAAGATGTAACCAAACATGCAAACATCAGTGCGTCGGTGCTACAGTAGTGTGAGTGATTTATTGTGAAGTCTTTTTTCCAGTGGGCAGGAAGGATCTGCTGTATCTCTTCTTAGAGGAACTGGATGAGTCGACAGCCTGCTCCTCCAAGCCCAAGATAGCAGCAAGCATGCAGGCCTTATGATGTCATCGCTCAGGCTTATTATAGTCCACAGATACAAGGTTTTCTGTCCCTTCTCTTTCATTTTGTACTGATTGCAGTCGAGATATACTGATACTTTTACACAAATATGGCAAAAAAGGTTTCTAAAATAAATGAGCCACCCTAGCTTTAAATGGGGTCCACAGCCTTCCCTCAGGATGAGCTGCCCCCCTCCTACCCCTCACTTACCTCTTTCTGTCGCTGAAAAATACTCCTCAACCACTTTTTGATTGGTCAAAAAAAAGACAAAGCTATTATAATCTGCATACAGATTACAGATGACCAAGTGTTGGAGAGAGAAAGGAGGAAACGCAGCCTGAGGTTTATAAAGATGCTGAGACGTCACCTCCTCTACCCAGCGTTGGCTGTGACCTCACTCACTGATGCGTCACCATAGCAATGAAATAACCTGGCTTAGCCTGTCAATCGATCCGACCCAGAATGATCTGCTGGTGCGACCTACATAGAATCACCCTCATGGACGTTCAGAGCTATGAATAGCTAAAGTGCAGTCCCAATGTTTATTTGATGTGATGGATTGCGTCAGTGAAAACACAATTATAGAAAGAAGACGCTATCTGTCAAATATGCAGCTTTGTTGTTTTTCTTGTATTCAAACATCTCTTTATTTTTGACTTTTCAACACAGACAGGATACACACACACATATATATATATGTATATACATACACATATACATATATACACACACCTACATACATATATACACAAGAAAGAAAAATGGGAGGTCTGGATGGCTTTGTCCTCTCAATAACGAGATAAATGCTGAGAAAATATTCAATCCAATTAATTTTATTTTGTAACGCCCAAAATCGCAAATTCCAGATTTGCCTCCGAGGGCTTTACAGTCTGTACACATGTGACATCCTCTGTCCAGAAACCCTCACATCGGCACAGGAAAAACTCAAACAAAAATGAAAAACCCTTCCATGGGGAAAAAATGGAAGAAACCTCAGGGAGAACGTCAGAGGACGATCCGTCTCCTGATGGACACACTACAATGGATGTCATGTGTACATAATGAACAATGGAAAAGATGTATAATACAATAACAGAGATGATTCAGATAATTGTTAGTAAGCAGGTGTACGACAGGACCAATGCAGGGGACCTTCATGTGCTCTTCTCCTGTACTGTCGTTGATGTGTGGAACATCTTCCATTTCCTTCCCTCTTCACGACATTGCTCCTATTTGGTTCTTATTTTGTGGGTTAACAGTTCCATATGATTCAGTCTCAATCTTCACCCTTGCCTCCAGTGTTGGTGGTTCTATCCTGTGTCCTCTCTTTGCAATGCTAGCTTTACTAGCTGCTAGCACAATTTTTAGCAGATAAGGTAAAGAAGCATACATGACTTAGTTATGTCATTTGACAGTGGTTGTATGGACATTGCCCCAAAACTCTACAATTTCCAGACAATTCTGTATTTCTTTGAGTTGTAAACTCCCATTATGGTTCTAATTATTCCATTTTTACCCTGGTTAATTTCGTGCTCTGTTTTTCTGTCAAAAAGATCCCTTAATTGTAGATATCTGAACTGGTTATTTAGCGTGTATTTATCTTTCAACTCGTGGAAACTTACTGCACTTCCATCTGTAATAACTGTGCATATTGCTGTTATTCCATAAGACATCCGTTGTTTAAACCTCTGATCAAGAATCCATGGAATAAAATGTGTATCATAAGCCATCCATTGTAGGGGCCCGAGCTGCTCCTCTTATCGGTGGTTCCTTGCCACTTTAAACCACAGCTCTGAAGTAAATTGAGTGACAACGTCCATCTGAAATTTGAGCTGCCTGGTAGTATGCCCGGAGGTTTGGTAGTGACATTCGCCCTTCATATTTTCCACTCTGTAATGCTTCATATTTGACTCTCACACATATAAATCTAGAAATAATTTTATTTATTAAGCTATTCAAACATTCTGTTGGTTGTCAATGCACATGCTGTGGCTTTTGATTGAACATGGAGCGTTCATGTTTAATATAATGTAAGGAATTCAAACAGCTGACACGCCGTTCCGTATACCGGCAAACTTGTCGCTTTTTGGCAAAATTTACTGTCTATGTCATCCACATGAATCCTGGATCAATGATCTTAATCGGATCAGTTCAGTATTTTGGTTCAAGCAATCAGAAGACCGTAGTTATAAAGTTGGGGCTCTCATCACACAACGTGGATGTGGACATGGTTTGCCGCGGTATGAAGACGGTTTATGAAAATCAAAATGCACCCAGCCTAACTTGTATCATAGATTATTCTACATTGGCTCACTTTTTGGATTACACTTAACCCCGTCCCCCTCTTGTCACCTTTTTCATCCCCTATGAGTTTGCAGGTATGGTTTTTGATTAACTAATAAATGTGTCCCTCATACGAAAAGGCAGAATCACAGGGCCAAAATGTACCACAAACATATCTCTCTCCTAGTAGGTGACGACTCCTCTGGTTGTATAGAAGTGGATGAGAAATTACTCTACTTCTCTCTTAATTTATTCCCTCAATACATCATGATGTTAATCAGAATCAGAACCATTTATTGCCAAGTACTATATGTTGTATAAATGCACTATATGCACATGTGCGATATTATTCTTGTCAGTATGGTGCAACTATGAACATAAAACAGACAAAAACGCTGCACAACATCAGAAATCTGTATTCCAGCCAAAAGAAAAATGTTCCTAAACCTACAATAAAGTGTCCGGTGTAGACGGCTGTGGCTGCAGCGTACCAGACGGTGATGGAGGAGCAGAGGATGGACTAAGAAGTGTACCATCACTGTCCTCAGCTGCCTCAGTTATCTCACAGGGTGGTTGGTGGAGACAACTATCGCCTCTGTCTCCAGAGCGAGCTCGAGTTGTTCAGCCATAACCAACACCTCGACCTCGCTCCTTGGTATTCCAAATATGGTCAATTCTGTTCATTGGTTACGAGTAGAAAGGCAAACAGACATTTGATTGAATCAAGTTGAACATTTCTTTCTGCAAATCTAAGTTAAAAATCATCTTTGGTGCTGAAATGGACACTTTTTCTGTCACAGTGAAATCGGACAAACAGGTAAAGACGGACATCATGCCTGGCAAGACGGACAAGTTCGACAACTTTGACAAGAAAGAGAAGGACGAGCAGCAGAAAAAGGACACCCTCCCGGACAAGAACCAGAAGTCTGAGAAGCTCCTCAAAGACGAGGTGGAGAAGCTGAATGCCAACGAGAGGGCCGAGAAGGTGGACAAGCCCGAGAAGACCAACAAAGACGACAAGAAGGAGGAGGACAAGGGCGGCAAAGGGGCGGCCAAGTCTCCAGCCGGCAACGGCGGGAAGACCCTGCCGAGCCCTGACGGCAAGATCAAGGTGAGTCTCTCTCACACACACACACACACACACACACACACACACACACACACACACACACACACACACACAGTGGGTCGACAGCAGTGCTGTGTGTAACAGAAACAACAGCCCGTCACCCACAAGTCACAAGGTGTGTCCAACCTTCTTCACACATATGGATGCACTGGATGCTGCTTCTACCAGTCTCCTCTTTAGTCACCATGATTATCAAAAAGGCTTCAGGTTTTTATTACCTGATTGACACATCAACGACTCATTGACTGAATCAATGAGTTTAAACTGTTGCTGAAAATAATAAGCAACACTGAGCTGGGTTTATGGGTTGGATACTTTTTCAAATCTAGCAATACTCTTTGTAGTTTCTCAGCATTATCAACCCTAGCTTATGTTAAAGAAGAAAAAACGCTACTTCTGCCTTTCTGACACGTCGATGGAGCCATGCTCGTTTGCATGTCTCCTGCCTGACCAAGCTAACAAGCTTGCTTGATAAACACCCAGATATATGGAAGTGCTTTTCCCCCTCATCAATAACTCTGAATTGGATAAAACGACGTCCAGCCCTCAGAACAGATGAGGCCACTGATAACTCAATGAGTTAACTCAATGACCTCGGCCCAGTGTGTGTGTGCAATGCGGGTTTGCTGATTCTTCAATATCTTTTCATTCATCCGATTTGAGGCTTACCATTTTATAATTGACTGCTCATGAGCGCTGAAAAGGAGTTATGCATTGCCATACCTTTATGTGATTTTATTTTATGACTGGCATTGCTACCATATCACGCTGGCATTGCAATCAGTGATTTCATCTCTGCTTGTATCCTTTGCTTCTGTCTGTCTTCCTTTCCCTGCCTCTCTTCTTTTACCGTATTGTGGCTTCTTTTAATTCGATTATCACCAGCCTGACGTCGGTTCAACTAAACCAAACTCTACCAAATCCCGTCCATCCACCCTCTCCACCAATGGCGAGGCTAACTCGGCCAAACGCCCCTCCCCCACCACTGCCACTAAAAAAAGCCCCGTAACCAAGGCGACCACACCCACCGCCGCCAAGCGGTCACCGACAGCAATTGGCTCCGCCAAGGCTGCCAAGGTGAGTACAACACGCACACGGGTGGATGTGTCCTCAGTCCACACCTGCGGAGTGGTCCAAAGGCCTTGAAGTGTTATTCAAGGATACTGGGGGGATGACTTTTATGAACTTGGTGCATCCCAGCATGCATCTCTGGTTTCAAATCTCCCAAAGGAAATTACACCGGATTGACTTTATAACTGTGTTTAACCTCACCTCATCTACTGTGCTGTCTCAAAATGTTAAAGAATGTTCTTTTATGTTTCATTTGTATAAGTTGCTGTCTAGACAAACACGTTCCCCACTTTATGCAGCTTTATGTTTATGTTGTTCTCTATGACAAGGTAGGACATCTTGAAAGGTTGCGTAGCACTTAATGCCTCAAAATGAATTCAGGCATTTTTTTGCCTGGTCTGCCAGAAGTCTATAATGTAAGCTGGAGGTATTCTGCCTCTGTGTCTGGTGAAACAATATTTATTGTGTAAATAAAACAAGACTTCACACTGCTAAATAGGAAAAATTGTAAAATAAAATCTCTACAATTAAACAAAAGATTGATCTGGTTTCTATCACTTTTAATGCGTTCAATCAAGCCTTAGACTGATTTATTCAAACATCTAAGCCTCCTGTGAATCTTATCAGATCTTTTAGATAAGCCTGTGCTTTCCGTTTAACATTATCACATTATCTCTTTGTTATTCATTAATGATAATGATAGGAACTCGCTGTTACGGTAACACGACCAAGCGCTCAGTCCCTTTCTGCAGAATTGTCTGCAAAAACAATATCTTTTATCCAACAATATATTTGTCCAATCCTTCAATAACAACATTTTCAATACTTGAATCTAGCAGCAATTTTGCAGCCCTTTCAATTACAGTGTACCTCGATTAATGTTCTGATAGTAAGATACAATATCCCTGATATCAGGAAGCAACTATCAGGAATCGCCCTTCTGCCGTTGATCCAATCACCAACCCTTCTTCTTCCTTCTTGACCCTCACCAATAACACCGGAGGCCCGGAGAGCTTTGCCTGACGGACTCTCGCTCCCACCGACTCTTGTTGTTGTCTGTTGTGATTCCCAGACTCCGGAGAATGACAAACGGCCAGCCGGGCCAAAGGTCGCACCCACGGCCCGCCCCGCTGCCGGCAAGAACGGCTCCTCTGCACCGGCTGCGAGTAGAACTGCTGGTAGGTGCAGAGCTTCATCGCCTCCATTATGCACCCACAGTGTGTCCCACTGCGGGCTGTGAACGCTGTTGACACAGACCGTAAATGACCATATAGAACTAGGAGCTGTATTGTGTGTGTGTGTGTGTGTGTGTGTGTGTGTGTGTGTGTGTGTGTGTGTGTGTGTGTGTGAGAGAGAATCAGTATGTATCTCAAACATTTGATCAATTGAAGCAGTGAAACATGGAACATCCAGAAGTTTATTAAGCGCCAAATAAACCAACAGAACTTTACGAAGAGCACGACATGCAGCGGCTTTCCAGATGTTCTCTGCATCGCAACACTGTACAGACATGGACAGTGTGAGAGACAGTGTGTGAGACACAGTGTGAGGGACAGTACAACCGTACAACCTTACGGCTCCAGAAGGTCTTCTTGTAAATAAATGATTCCTGTCTTCAGCATTGTTAGCGCTCGTACAGGAAGTGATGTCATAACGGGTCTTTGTGTCCTCGGAGAAGTCTCTCCCTATAAAACATTATCAAAAACGCATCAATGTGGAAGAGAGCTTCCCTTTGTTTCCGGGGGAGTGATGAACTAATCCAGCAGCTCAAATGCGTTGCTATGGTGATGTAGCCAAACCTGCTTTGTGAAACCGAATCTTATCCTGATAATTATCCGGCTAACTCCGTTAGCCTCGTTCGAGGAACGGGGCCCGACATCACAAGCAGTGTCCGACCTCTCCGAGAGGACTGCGACAGTCAAACTGTCCCACCAGCCTCGAGAAATCCCTTTGAAAATAGAAGCCTTGATGTTAACGCTCCATTAGTGTCTGTTTTATAAAAGACACTGGTGCTTTGGTTAATGACCAGCTTGGTCTGTCTGCTGACGAGTGGGTGGATGGTGAAGGTACGGTGGCCCTGAAGTGCAAATCACAACGGCAAGTAGGAAAACACAACGACATTAACTTCTTACGGAAAGGGTAGGGCCTTATAGCAGAGGACGGACCCTTCTGATTGGACAGACGGACTGTCTGTCTTTTAACCCTCTTAATTCGAAGCCTTTCGCCGGCGACGGAAAGTGACGTGGAGGATTGAAATCATGTGACTCCTTAACTATTTGCACAATCGGATTCTGAAAGCTGAGAAATGCTGCTCTCTAGATATTATGTCAATCAATAAATCAGTGGCGGGACTGAGAGCCTGTGATGGGGGGGGGAAGTGAGCGCAGCAGAAAGTCACGGAGAGATGGCGATGTTTTACGAGCGTCTTAAAAGTGTCCTACTAGTGATGTGTTTTGTTGTTCAATTGTATTTAGGTGTTAGTAAAAGTAAATAAAGGGGGTCGGGATTCTGTTAGGCTGATTGTACGGCAGTGTGTTTAACGGTGTGCGCTGTGTTTCCTGCTTACAGCAAACAAGAACGACAAAACTGACAACAAGACGGGAGAGGCCAAGAAACCCAAGACAACAGGTAACAAAACTACCAGAAATAAGACCGAGAGCTCTGACACGCCACTCCTGAATGCCACCAGAATCAAATAAAGAACTTTGTTGTTCACATGATCTGATCCCGATCATCTTCTCTCTTGAACTTTAACTTTAAATAACTCAAATAAGAGAAGTAACAAACTGAAGTTATTATATAACATCGATCTTCTCCTCACCCTAGCCACGCTGTTTACTTTCAATTCACGTTAACCAAGCATCCGTGTAGCTGCTACTCTCCAACAGACACGGATGTGCCATTTAGGTACGGCCATGTTTTGTACGGTCATTGACTGCTCACAATGTTAAATAGATGAAACGGAGAGAAAGCGGAATGCTGAGGGAGACTCAGTTTCATGTCTTCAGACTACCGTAAAATAATTGTGACTGAACGGGCTTTACAAAAAAATGACGTAGAAAGATTTTTGCAATAGACACAATTTAAATGGCTTGTAAAAATGTATTAAAATGAATTTGAATAATTTCTGTCGTATGAATTGAATGTATTATACATCTTTTACATTGTTCATTCTGTACACATGGCATCCTTTGTAGACTGTCCATCAGGAGACGGATCCTCCTCTGACGGTCTCACAGAGATTTCTTCCCTTTTTTCCCCATGGAAGGGTTTTCATTTATGGGGAGTTTCCTGTGCCCATGTGAGGATTTTGGGACAGAGGAAGTTACATGTGTACAGACTGTAAAGCCCTCTGAGGCAAATTTGCAATTGAATTGAGTTGAAATTAAAAAGAAGTCATTATATTATCTTTTGGAAAGATACATTTGGGTCTTAGCTAAAATAAATGTGCACTGCCTTGTGTGTGTGTGTGTGTGTGTGTGTGTGTGTGTGTGTGTGTGTGTGTCTGTGTATCTGTGTTACAAACCTAGCAGTAGGTTATATAGCGACAGCACAAGCCGGTGTCAAACCAGGTGCTTTAAAAACTAGTAAAAAAATGTAGTTCTATTCTAATATATGCTGACAGGCAGTGGAGTGTAGCTACATGCAAGGTAATATTCTCTCTCCTCCTCAATTGACCAACACAAAGAGTACTCTCATTTCAAACAACCAGTATGAATACCCCTCTGTCCCACTCACCTGTCACCCACCCTGTAGCCCGTCCTCGCCCGGCCTCCGCCACCACTCCTGTGGCCTCCACCAACGGAGAAGCCTCTCACCGCCGCCGCGTCATCACCAAGCCCCCCGTTCCCAAGCAGACCCCAATGGAGAAGAAGCCGGCGGTGCCCCGCGCGCCTCGAACCCCCCGGCCCATCAACGCTCCCACACCCGACCTGAAGAACGTCCGCTCCAAGATCGGGTCCATCGACAACATCAAGTACCAGCCTGGCGGGGGAAAGGTGGGAAAAATGCACAAGAAGTGACATAATACACATTGAGGTTATTCATTGTATTAGCAAATGATCCGGTGAAGGCTCAGTAAGTCAATCAGATGCTCTGAGCTCGAGCTCATCAATAGCACTTAATGTACTGCTACAATCACATTGAAATGAGCGATTCCAGAGGACACAAACACGTCTGAGCAGATGAACAATAGAAGATTTCAAATGAAAACAGATCCAGGAGCAAAGCAATGTACTGAGCAGGACTCTTTTTAGACAAAACAAATTATAGTTTTTTATTTATTATTAAAGACACACCTCTTCAGACTCTACCTCGACTAAAAGACTAACAAATTGTAGCACTTAAATTCTACTTGTAACGCCACTTATCTATAGCAAATTGTACATCGGCTTATTTGATGAAATTGCACTTTCTTGTTTCCTGCTCTTCTGAGTTTGTATCCTTATGGTTGAAATGTAATTATTGGAAGTTGCTTTGGATAAAAGCATCAGCTAAATTACATGTAATGTAATGTTCTCCACCAGACTCCATTAACAAATGACGATATCTAAAAACTATAATGCTTTAATATCCATCAGTCACGTCTATGTTCCCTTGACCGCCTGCAGTGGGCACGTGTGACAGGCTGTAGAGCACAGTCGCCCCCTCCTATTTCCCCCCCACTTTGTCTTCTTTTCACATTCACTCCTCACCTCGTCACCCTGCATCGCCCAGACACAATCCGCTTGGGCCAGTTAGAGTGTGACCGGAGCACAGGAGGCAGCGATGTGGCCCCCCCCACATGTTTCCCTGCACTCACGGTCGGGTGCAGGCATCGCTTGTGACGTTGTGTCGTCCCTTTCAAAAGCAAGCTCACAGTCGTCTTTTCAGCTTTGTCAGAGCAAGGTCACACACACTAACACACACTAACACACACAGAAAGACACACACAAGCTCACCGGCGCCCTCTGTTATGTATTGTAATATGAACCAATGCTTATTGTTCTGACAACTTTTCCACCCTCAGTGATGGAATTGTTTGAGTTGAGTCAGTTTTTTACGTTCTTTTATTTGTGCTGATATTTTATTTAGCCCCCGTCGTGTTGCTAGTAATCTTCTGTAATTCATTGTAACTTTTCTGGAAAGTGCTCCATCGGTTCACTGCCGCTCGCCGTTATCCATCTGAAACAGCGCATATGATTGGCAGTGCTACACACACCTGAATAGGTTCCACCCATTTGATTGGCCAATAATTACTATTGTTATCATACAGTTTCTATTAAGCTAGTAATGATTCATAGACCCACAAGATCAGCCAATCACGTCCTTCTCTCTGATTAGCAGTAATGATTCATCTGATTATTTTGTCCCTGCCCCTCCACCTGCTCCCTGACCTCCCACTGGTTGCAGGTTGTATTGACCGCTCGGGTGTTGTTGTCTTCTCCAGGTCTCCTCCACCCCAAACAACAAGACATCCGACCCCTCCACCCCCGCCGCCAAGGCCAAAGTGAGTCCTTACCACCTGCACCCTTACAACTGTGACACATCACCCTACGTCAGCATCCACCACATACAGCATCCACACCCTTGCTGGTTACGTGTTCCAAACAACAGCAGCTTGCTTAAAAGCAAACTGAAAGCAACATTTCAGCATCACTACTCGTATCACATGAACAAATACAATTATTTTGTCCACAGAGGTAGTTGTGACATTATTCTGGGTAGCCTCAGTTTAAAGAACTACGGTGACCTTCAAGAAACCTTAAACAACTAATATCTCTCTGGAGCCAGTGTTTGGTTTGTCCGATCTGGAACACTGTACAAAACATCGAAGCTAAAACACAAACCTGTTTTCTTGTACAACTAGGGCTTGACATTGTTGTGAAGTGGAGCTTCTAATAATGACCCGAACACGTCTTGTATTGAGAGAGTCTTGCAGAACGCGCTCTCGATACAGGTTTACATATTGTCAATTACATCAAGTAAAGACAACGTCAAATGCTACGTCCTGTTGTTTAACTAAATAAAAGCACTTCCTGTTAAGTACGCTATTCAAATAAGCAGCGTTACAGAAGCATTTTAACACAATTTACAACAGACATTAGCGTCGCCCACCCGCCAGATGCAGGTAGAATTCGGTTGTGGTGGGAAAAGCAACCATTTTTGGGATGGTTTCGCATTATCCCTCCAGTTTTGCCGTAGAAGGGTCGAGGGGTGAAGGCGGTTATTAATGTGTCATGAGTGCCCTCGGCGACGAGTGTGCACTTCCTTAGCTTAGCTGTCTCAGTTTAGCTAGCAGACTGAATCCTCTTCAGTGTGAAGCACCGCCGGTTTAAGATGAGCGTGAAGACTGAGACCCGTTTAACAGCTCAGGACTGTTTGCAGACAGTCGTCCAGCAGAGACCCATGTGGACCTGCCTGCTCCGTTTTCTAAAACTCTTTGCAGAGTTCTCAAGTCTCATGCATTGACCGTGAGACACACACATTCCAACCAGTTCACACGCCACACTGAGAAGGAAACGCCAAACAAGTTGCATCGTGTACGTATCGTTTCCTGTACGCTCGTTACTAAGCAGCATACACGCGCCAACACACGTGGCAGGTGGAGTCTTTTGATACGACTTGAGGAGACCTGCTCAGTGCAAGACGAGGACGTGGCAGCACATTGCAGGTGTAGCAAAACCCAGAGGACAGACACAAAAGAGAAAGACTGGTGAAAAATGAAGAGGAGACAAGAAAAGAAAAGACTGAAAATATTGCATCGGACTAATTGTAGGATGTACGGGAGTGAAGGTTTAAGGGGTCTTTGTTGTATCAGTCTTTATCAGTTGCACATGTTTTCATACCACAGGAGATTTACATACTTGGTAAAGCTCCTTTTGTATAAGTACAGGTGGCTGTACATAAACATTTGATGTAGTCGTCATTTGGGTGTTTACAATGGTGATTTAAGGATTTTAAATCTAGTCCTTAGCAAACTGTAGTCAACTTAAATCATATTAAATCCAATATCCCAACAACAAAACTTGTGGCTACTGTATCTGCTGAGTGGCTGGTACCTTTGGAAATCCACGAGCCACAGTGGCTGGTGAGCAAAAATGTTAATGTCAAGCCCTGAATACAACCTTAGAATTAAGGTATTCTGAAATCCTGTTAGATGTTCAGAGAATATAGAGATTCAAAGTAACAAAACAGTGACAGTAATAATATCAGCTAATATTAGACTGCATGTTCCTGTTTGTTTTAATCCCCTTAAACTCTATTTGCTTTACAATGCTCATCAGTCATTGTCTTTTTTGAACATTAAATACACATAAAATCAAATGAGTTTGAAAACAGCCCAGCTAAAACTTGATTGCAGCAGAGTCACGAGGTATAGCTAATGGGTTCTGGCAGCTCCTAATACCATTCTGCTACTACTGCATCTTGGGGCTTCCAGAGACACTCACCTAAACAGAAACAGCGTCCTGTCACACACTCAAAGCAGTTTGATTGGATGGGATCCAGCACCTAAAAATGCAGCTGGCCCCCGACCTGTCCTCTTGTGCTTGCAGCAGATCGTAGTATCATGGAGACTGCTGTTTTTTCACTTTCTCAATAATACAATAGGGAAACAAATTTAGCATCCTGCTGTGTCCTATTTTAGTGTACAGGTGTGTGTGTGTGTGTGTGTGTGTCTGTGCGCGCATCGTCATGCGTTAAGCGCAGATGTTCTAACTGCTCAGTGAGTCATCCTCTGCTGGTGCCACCTGCGTCATCATGCCTTTCTCATCTTGCAGACAGAGACGGAGACAAAAGAGGAAAGCATCTGCAGTCTGCTGCAGGGTTCTTTACGATATGACAACGTAGGCAATGAAACAACTATGACGACATATTGTGGGGAGAACTTATGTCAGTGTGGGAGACGGGTGGGTCCCTCTTCCCTCGCAGTGGTAGAACAACCACTGACCACTGCACAAATGTGAGCTTGCTTTAAGTTAAATTCCTGAGAAAATTGTCAGTTCAAATAGTCAGGGGAGAAAATATAAGGATTAAAGTGTCCTTGGTAGGTTAATAGTTTCAATCCTGTATGCCAATTTATACTGAGCAGCAGTAAGCAGCTGGCATTGTGTCAAATGTGTGTCCATGGATGGACCTCTCCTTTACTCCTTTTGTCGGGGCTGGATCAAACAATGTTCACTGTTCTACACCAAACTCCAAATCTCTTTTACAGATCATACTGATTTTATTCTAGTTTGACCTGAAAATAGTTGTAAAATCAAGGTGTGAGCCTCTCACTTGGATCAGTGTAATGTCATATGAAGCCCACGGATGTCATCTTTAGTGGCCCCAGGGCAGCTTTTTCAATAATATCCGGACACTGAAGGTTTTTGTGTTGTGAGACAATTGCTGCTAACGTTGTAAAACGTGGTCAACGTAGTGAAATGGTTCTGCTTAACGTAGTGAAACTGTGCGCTTTGCTAAGCGTGGATCGTTAGCACGTTGCGTCACGTTGGTAAACTAGATCCTGGTTAACTCTGTAACGTGTTGTCAATATTGTTAACGTTGTGTAACGATGGCGGATATCCCTGAAATACATCCTCAATGTTTCATTGTTTCATGGTTATTGTTGAAACTCCTAGTTAATGTTGTGCCCCTGTGTTGGTTAACAATGTAACTAGTGGTGGAATATGGGGTTGCGTCGGGATCTCCAATCCTCCCGAGTTGGTTGATGAGAAGGATCGCGTTACACGTTAATCAATTAAAGTCAAAAGGTTAACATTTATTTAGAAGAGAAAAATATTACATAAGCAATTGTCCGCAGATATATCTGGCTCTAACTATTGCTTACAAGCAGGAGGTCGAATACAAGTACAGTACGTATTACAGTGCTAAGTGTAAATGGCGTCTCCGAGCAGTAAAAACGTTGAATTTTTATACACACACAACAAGGTCATCCTCAGTGGCAGGTGCGAATTATAATATAATAGATCGAAAAGGAAGAAACGCGGATATGAAAACTTTCATACGAAATAAGATATGAACCAAGGCCATGAACAGAATTCCCTTTGATTGAAGCGTCTATGAGATCGAGTTGACCGCGAAGTGCGAAACATTTCCGTCTTCCTGGTCGATTGATTTCTGCTTAAAAATATTAACGTCCATTTGAAACCGGCGACAACTTTAATAAAATGATATTAATATTATATTGCTTATATCTCTATGTTCTCACTCAGTGTCATTGCTGCAAAATCATTTCCCTGCTTTTATGCATAAGTTGAAAATCTAAATAAAAACACAATGGCATTGAATGCATCCCACATGAGTTATTTGGGTCATCACATAATACTTAAACACCCGTATTTCCCTTTGTGAGTCTTCAGGTAAAGGGGCAGGGCGGGGGGCAGACGATATGGTCGCACACTTGCCACTTGAGAGCCCTGAGTTAGTGCCTAAGTCATCCTTCAGGGTGACAAGAGGCTCATGGGTAATACGTGGAATGGCCCCCCTCTCCCACATTGGTGTATTAATCGCTTGCATAGAACGGCATGCATTAGCACACAACCACTGACTGCCCCGTGTAGCATTCTGTTTGCATGTGCTCTGTCTCCCCTTCCACTGTCCCGAGCTGTTTCTCTTACTGACTATGGAAGCATCTGCTGTCATTCAGTCAGCCAACCTCCGTCTTGATGCTTTTTGATACACTGTTCCTTTTTGTTCAAAATTCCCAAATCTTTCCTGTAAGAATCCATTCGATCAGCTGCACCCAGTTTTTCAGCCACAATGATTTGCTTGCTTTAGATCCCAACACACTTCTACAGTGCCTTGTGTCGATACATTTTCCCCATAATGCAGATAATTTCCCAACTTGTGTGTAGGAGGAATCATTTGATTTGAATGACAGAACCTCTTCCATACTTAGAGCAAAGCCGCTCTGTTTCCTGTTAACTTAAGCTGCCAGCTGATCTGCTCTTCTCTGCTGCTCTTGTCTGTCTGCCTTTCATGCCCTTCCTTCTTTTCTTTCTTATCTATCTTTCTTTCTTTCTTTCTTTCTTTCTTTTCTCTTCTACGTCCTCACTCTCCTGCTTGTGTGTGTGTCTGCCTGCCTGTCTTTAGGTTCAGATAGTGCACAAAAAGCTGGACTTCAGCCATATCACGTCTCGCTGTGGCTCCAAGGACAATATCAAACATGTCCCTGGAGGTGGCAAAGTAAGTACTGCTGGAGCTGGAGGGAGACTCTATGAGGGTGGATGCGTCTCATATTCAGAGCTAATAGACCCTAAAAAAATTGTGGTCAAATGAGGATCTACTTTTTTTATCTCAGCCACTAAGAGGCTCAGGAATCATGTGTTTCTTACTCCCAGCTGGGCTGTCTTCACCTAGAAGCATCATTCTCAAAGCAACAAAGAAGGGTTGCACTATAATCCTCTTTGTTTGCATTTTGGAATGATTTCACTCAAAGTGACCTGACCATAGGTCCCTCTGCCCACCCTTCCAGATGTTGCTCCCATCTGCTCCAAACACCTGCTGCACTATCATTGTCCATCTGTGGGCTGCCCTCATCCACCACTTTGCTGTTTCACATCACTTAAACCAAATGAACCGACTCATAGTGTCCACAAACGGGACCTCAAATACAGCTAAAGGCTCCATAATAGTGGCAGTGAAATAACCTTAAACCTGCAATGTGGAAAATATCCTTTTGTCATAATTAAGCTCGATTTGTTATTATATCCTGACAGTAGCACATGAGACGGGTAATGTGTGATGAATGTTAGGTCATCTGCTTCCTTTTACTGCCCCCGGTCGCATTGAAAGATGCCAGCGCACACAGAGGGAAACAGCCACTACGAGGCGTCTGTGACGCAGCGGTTTGGTCCAGCTAAAGAGGAATGAATCATTTCCTTATTATCAATCCCACCTATGCCTCTCAAACCTTTGCACTAATACTCCTATGCAGATGTGTATTTTAATCTCTACCTTGTATTTTTGCTCCATATGTGTATTTGGTTAAAACCTTATTTTGTAGACCATGTTCCACATAAACGACGCATTCTACAACAAACAACAATTCTACTTTGTATTATAAAAATCAGGTGATTACCTGTCAAGTAATGAGGGAGAGCTCTAATGTCAATCGTCCACCACGACACCAATCATGGTTGGTTTGCTAACACGTTTTCAACAGCAGAGACACAGTCTGCCAACTCTCATCGTCCTGTCCTTCATCACATATGTACATTTGTTGATCTGATCACACGCTGTCCGACAGGCCATTGCCTCTTAACATCCAGCAGCTCCAGCTGGCTTCAGATTGCTGGCTGTGATACTGAACACACACTCCCATGACGGGGCGACGGTCTCATGCATGGAGCGCAACAAGGCGTACAAGCATAGGTCAAAGTATGAAGCACGGGGAGGTAGTCCAGCATTTGCTGTGTGGTGTCCATTCCCACACATACACCACCCTGTTGTACAGACTGCATCCTGTCTTACTGCACCGGTGCATGTTAGTGATGGTGGTTTCCTAAAGTGGACAGAGTGCACGCGAGCGCGCAGCTGCATTCCACTGGATTTGAGCTCTCTGTGAGTTTGTATTTAGCCCCTACGTCTTGATCTCCCCCACCCCCACCCCTCCCCAGGTGCAGATCCTGAATAAGAAGGTTGATTTGAGCAAGGTGACGTCCAAATGTGGCTCAAAGGACAACATCAAACACAAGCCAGGTTTGGTTTAATGCTTCTATGCTCCTCTATTTCATGATTATATTCGACCTCCCAAACTAGCCTTCTTCTCCCTTTTATTTCCCAGTGAGGTGATGTGAAGATTGAGTCCCCATAAGCAAAACATTAAGGCCAAGTCTAAGATCGGATCCATGGACAACATGGGGCCAGGCAATGAGCAGACCAACGGACACAAGGTCAAACGCTAACACGCTCACTCATTTACCTTCTCTGGCTCTGCTGACTCACTGTGCTTCTAAAGCAGTGTGTGGTTACCAACAATAAAACCGTGCTGTGTGTTGTGTGTGTGTCCCTGCCTTGTGGGTCTATTTTTGGCCACAGGACGAGAAAACAGAGGCGAAGACATCTTCACCCCCGACAACAGGACCGGCGGGCGTTGCTAAGGCAACAGCAGTAGGAGGTGTTGCCAAGGAAAATGGGGTGAAGGAACCTACAGCCACTCCTTTCGGAGGGGATGGACTGAGGGAGCATAGCATTGACAAACGCATCACTGAGACAAGTGGGTGTCAACACACACACACACAGTCAGTTGTAAAAGCAATGAAGCGCACGTCTGTGATATCTCTTTCTAAGCCACGTGCCTTTTACTTACTTTTGCCAGACCTGCAAACTTATGAGGGGTGAAAAAGGTGACGGTGGGGTGGCGGCGTTGCCGGACAGCTCAATTAAAACAGAAATGGTTTATAATTTCTTCCATAATTCATATGGATCTTGTCGCAGACTGTAGAATCCTGTACGCTGAAGACACACACTGGTTGGGCAGTTTAAGACTAGTATCACTTTTCTCTCATCCTCTTTATGATTTGTTTTTCCTTTTTCGTTGCCTTTCTCCGTCTCTAAATCCAATTTCTTCTGTCCAACAGATTGAGTCCCAGTGACCAGTAGATTTTGGCGGGACACGCATGGCGCTCGCCGACAGACCAACCAACCTACCACGGCACAGACACCTCCCTTTGGCCCCGCCCCTCATCTCGCCCAGCACAGCACCGAGCCGACCGATCCCCTTCTGTGTTTGTAACGGGGTTCCACCTGCCGGCTTCCTGCTATTAACCCCTGACCTTTGACCTGTCAACGGTTGACCTTCCTGTTTGTCTGTGTTTCTGTGTGTGGGCTCAGCCAGCTTGTTGGCTGGTCAAAATGTCCTTATAAACACTGATTTAGAAGACAACACCAAACGCAATAAACCCACTATTCTAGTCAACGCTAATGGAAGTCTATTGGAAATAGCTTAGAATATTTTCACCTTTGAGTCTTAAACTGTTTTAACACTCAAAAGCAGATCTATTGTCCCTCCTACAGGCCTTCACACTTCAAAACCTCTCCGATCCTTCATTCTCCATTCTGTGGAAAATCAACATGTTTAAATCAACAGATTTTAGCCTCCGAGCCAAACACCAGTTTTTTCCAAATCTACAGTATCTACAGCAATGCACGTTGTCCCATTACATCTACCATTGTATTTCTTGGTATCGTTCCATCAGCTTGTCTCATCCCATTGTATTACATCAAGGCTTCTTAACATTCACCAGTAGCAGGGGTTTGGAGTTGAACTGCTAGCTGCTAACCCTTTTAGTCAACCCAGAAAGTCAACGCACACTATGCTGAATGTTGCTGCGGACCGCATCGCCCTCACTGCTGGGTAAAGGCACGTTGGCGCCAGCCAAGAAGGCATGGCAGCATTTGATTCATTTGTGCTAATGGATTCGGTAGGATGAGCGATTGGGCCTGCGGGGTCGTGCTCGGTGAACTGTGCCCCACCAACTTGCTGTTGGGGAGTAAACCCCACAATCCAAAGTTAAGAGACGCATGCTTCCGTGACATACGAGGCCCGCGTGTTCCCAGCTTTCTACGGCCTTAGCGGTTAGCTAGCTGCCTGCCACATTTCCAACTAAAGCCACATACTTACGGATGAATAATAATTTACACACCATATTTTTTATTCTCTATTTGGATCCCCATTAACTTCATAACATATATCGTGGATATATTACCCACCACCTCGGGGGATGTCGAGTGTAACGACACAATGCTGAAGCCGTAGCACGCTGGTTTAGATCGGTCCTGGTCACGTGGTCAAAGCACAAGTCCACAGTCTACTGAGGTCATGCACTGACATATGGTTGAGCCCGTGGAGAGGCTCAGGGTTCTCCTGAGTCTCCTCTCTGTGAGACCCACCAGCACAGATACAGTATT